AACTGGAACTACAACTGCAACCATCTCATGAATTGTACATCTGTGTCGAGTCCATCGTTTTCTCTCTCTCCTGTTTTCCACCCACAAAACACGCAGAGGGAGGGAGAGGCTGATGTGTCAAATCCTTCTTTGTACACTCTGGTTTGCACAGACATGCACAACAGTTCTCCAGATGGCCAAACAATTCACTCTGTGGACTTTTTATTTGTCTGTGATGCTTTTATTGAGAAACATTAGTTGAGCTCCCATTTAAAGCCCAAAGCTCCTGTTGTCTGTATGATATGATGGAAGAATTATCCTTCTAAAAATACCCCAGAAGCTCATTTCCATTTATATAATCTCCAAATATTTATTTAAGCTCGTTTACAATGTGATGTCTCTCTCTCACAGCAAAAATAATATGGACAGGCCCTCACAGGCTACATGCAATGTTAGGATCTACTCTTGATCCTGTCATGCCTATAAAAGCCACCAGTCTGCTTGTTTTCAGCCTTTGTAATCCTTCCAAAGATATCCCCCTGATGTTTATGCTGCATATTATATGCTCCAGTGTTATGAGAATATGTAATGCAGCGTATTGTGGTGTGAGATGATCGTATACTCCTGTTTTTGAGGATTTCTAAAGAATAATTATAGGTGCGCTTTTTTTTTTCTTTCTTACCTGTCTAATATTTTACTAAGAACTGTAATAGCATTTTTGTATAAATTCGAGTGAGTCTTAGGCCATGCTACATTAGCTTATGTCTCTGCACCACTCTGCAAGTATATCTATACAATACTAGATGGCAGTGTTATTACCATGCTATGCGGATCTGTTCAGACCTCAAACACTTTGCATTTACATAAAAGATGAACTTACGTTGTTGGTTTGCTTTGGTGAGGCTGAAGCAAAAGGCCAGAAGGAGGTGACTCACTGTTGTATAGAAATATAGGAAAACATGGGAAATGTTGGAGAACAGCCCTTGATTTCTGAGCTCAGTGAACACTTTTCTGATGAGTTTATAGTCTCAATCACCAGTTTCAAGTCTTGCAGAATAGAACACAAATCAACACATTCCTTTTTTTTTTTTTTTTT